AGAGACAGAGACAGAGACAGAGACAGGTTCAGAGACAGAGATAGAGACAGGTACAGAGACAGAGACAGGTTCAGAGACAGAGATAGAGACAGGTTCAGAGACAGAGACAGAGACAGAGACAGGTTCAGAGACAGAGACAGAGACAGGTTCAGAGACAGAGACAGAGACAGGTCCAGAGACAGGTTCAGAGACAGAGATAGAGACAGAGACAGGTTCAGAGACAGAGACAGAGACAGGTCCAGAGACAGAGACAGAGACAGAGATAGAGACAGGTCCAGAGACAGAGACAGAGATAGAGACAGGTCCAGAGACAGGTCCAGAGACAGAGACAGAGACAGGTCCAGAGACAAAGATGGATGAGGAGCTGCTGTCTCAGCAGTTTGGAGCTGAACCAACAAACAGCTCCATCAGAGTGTTTCCCAGCAGACACCTGGCAGCTCTCTGCTGATCAGAATACACACATCTGATTGGCCGATCACGTGAGATGACTTAATGCATCCACATCACGTCTGTGAGTTTCCTGGTCGCTGACACACGCTACAGACGCTGCAGAGGTTAAAATAGAAATCCTTAAATGTGTTGGTCGGAGGTCAGGGTCGAGCCGCCGGCGATGGAGAGCGACAGCAGGTTAACGAGGATTGTGATGACGTCCCCATGGATGGATTACTGAACCAGGCTGCCGGTCGCAGGCTCAGGGGCCCAAAGTTTCAGGGGCCCCCGAAGCTTCACCTGCAAGATGTCACTCAAATGAACACGTGCCGACCAGGACTCAACATGACCACGAGGAGCCTGTTTACGCCTGACGATAAGGTGTGTAGGTGATCCAGACGGACGACTGCTGGATTTAAAGACGCATAATGAGGGTGAAGAGGAGACAAATGAGAGGGTACAGCTGAGGAGGAGGAGGAGGAGGAGGAGGAGGAGGTATGAAATAAGAGGATGATGAAGAGGAGGAGAGCAGCAGTACAGAGTGAGGAGAGGAAGAGGAGGATTAGACTTCCTGTTATCTGAGGAGAAGATGGGAAACCAGCCTAATTTATTCTGAAACATATCAGTTATCAGTCAGAGAGATGAAGAGGAGGAAGAGGAGGAGAGACGACAGGGGAAGAAGAGATTAGTGAGGTGGTGAAGAAAAAGAGAGGAGGGATCAGATTAAAATGAGAGAAGATTATTAAATGTCTAACGGCCGTCAGTTCAGAGCTCTCGGGGGAGAAAAGATCAAGTCATAGTTTGAGTGAAGTTTAAATGTGGATCTGATCCTCAGATTCATCACAGAGTGTTTATCATCATTTATTTATTCTTTAAAGATTAATAATGTTTGTCCTGATGGTGGCGCCAGAGGAACAATCTGGGCTCAGCTGCAACTCAGGAAAATGACGGACTTGAAGATAATCAGAAACTTGTCTGACCTTATTTGTTTTGGATGTGTGGCTGTAATAATTTGTATTACTAATTCATATATATATATGTATATATGTGTGTGTGTGTGTGTGTGTGTGTGTAGGACCGGGACAGCGACAGCACGGCTCTGTGTGTAAAGAACAGATCAGCGTTTGAGCATCAACACAACCACCTGCTTCACTGTCTGGAGAAGACCACGGTGAGTTCATCTCAGACAGATCTGAAGTTTCTTTTTCCATCTGACAGAGTTTAAAGATTCTGTCAGCACGTCTGTGACTCTGAACACTGCCGTCACATAACCTCTGAATTTAACTCTGTGTCATGTGGAGACGGAGAGTTCATCACTGACGCTGACAAAACAGTCTCGTTAAAAGTTCCATTTATCATCTGTTCTGGAGCTTTAATCATATCACGTGATCCTCCTACACACATCTGTTCTCCTGTCTCTCCTCACAGAACCACGAGTTCACTAACGAGATGAACTACAGCGAGCTGTGTATGACCGAGTCGGTGGGCTACAGGACCAGTCGCAGCACCTCCCTGTCCAGCCAGCAGGGGGCGCAGAATAACTCCACTGGCTGCTGCCCCCGCCGGGCCAGGAGGAGAGCCGCCATGCGACTGGCTAACTCCACGGTGTCCGTCAGTCGGGGGAGCGTCCAGGAGCTGGACACCCTGCACATCAAGACCACCTCCATACCACCACAAACGTAAACAGAGATTATCATTACTGACGAATGATAAAAGAAACGTAACAATACACAACTTTAGACACACACACAAACACACACACACACACACACAGCCGTAGAGGACATAAAGATACATTGCTGCACTGATAAACACACTGTGAAACACATCGGCTGTTGAGTCAATAGGTCAAACACAGAAGAGCAGAGGTCCAGTAACAGAGCCCTGATGGACACCGTATTTTACTGCAGGAAATACAGATGTTTCATCACAAAAATACAATTAGTTCTTTAAAATAAGTAAACGACATGCACCAAGAACTTGTCTTTTATCCCAACGCCTCAAAACAGAGTTACAAAGGGTTCAGTGGTTGAAAACTTCCCCTGTGAAATGAAACAACCCTTAAAGACCCCGATACGTCATCACTGTCATCGTCTGTAGCATTTATACAAACAAACGTGACTGTTGTGGTGATGGTTTTATCACAGTAACATTTGCTGTTGATGGAGATAAAAAGCATGAATGCTGATGACACTTTTAGTTACACGCTTTTAAATGATCAAACAAGTCATGAAATAAAAAAGAACACTGCTTCATTCCCAGGTCAGTAGCTGCTGCTCTGTAGGCTAACGTTAGCAACCTGTGCTTTTTGCTGCCACAACAGCCGATAAACTTTAGCTGTAAGCTAGCTAACAGTGCATGAAGTGATTTCATTTAAGCTTCAGGATAAACACGTATAATTTGCTCATGTTGGCACATATTCACTTCACGCAGACTTTCTCTCAGCGTGTGACGTGCTCAGTTTGTGTCTGTTCACACTCGTTCACGTCCTCCTCGTTCTTACTGACGGTGTTGTCTTTTCTTGTCTCTATGTTCTGTGGGTTTGTTTCTCTCCCCAGTCGTTCCAGTCTGAACGCCCAGATGGGTGACCTGAAGCTGAACTGCGGAGAACAAGATTTCACCGCTGCCATCATCAGCATCCCCACGCCGCCCGCCAACACGCCTGACGAGAGCCTCCCTCCATCGCCTGCCCCCATCCCCGGCATCCTGCGCAACACCCGGGCCACCGCCTACACCCATGACACCGTCAAAATCTCCTCCTTATAACCTCCGACCTCCTCCGCGACCTCCTCCTCGACACCCACCCTGCCGCCCCGTCAGCCAACCTCCCCATGAACTCTGAACTTCCTTTGAACTTCTGATCCTGAACCCAGGGCGCTGCTTGCTGAGACTTTGGGGACAAACACGACTCAGGTGGAAACTTTGAGTACTGCTGGTTGTTTTCACTTCCTGTCACCATCCTGTGAATTTACATGAGACGAACAGAGATGGAGACAAAAAGACTTTGAGAACAGGACACAAAGCAGCTGCTAAAATCAAAGGCAATGAATTCTGAAAAAAGAACGATAATTGTTCTCCTGAAGACGTTCCTAAGTCGTACGAACCCCCCCCTCCCCCCCCTGCATTTTAGCCCAACACGCACTTCTTCCTGCACAGTCCCCACCCTGAGTCTCATTGCACAAACCTGGGAGGGTTCATCCAGGACGACCATGGAGAAGACGCCAACACGTTCAGCATCCCAAGACCAGCTGACAGGTTGGATTTGATGGGTCCATTTTGCGTCCCCACAAAACATGATGCTTTAGAAGAGGGAAACCAAATCACAGCCGGGGACGATGGTCCTATATTTTAGTCTAAACCCGGCGTGAGCAGCTTGAGAGGTCTTACTTTTAGAAAGAGACGCCGACTTGTTGATCAGAGGAACTGCCAACTGCCGCAGGATCATTCAGACTCAGCTGATTTAATGTCAGACTCATCTGTGATGGAAAAAGACGTGACGGAGACGATCTGTAGACGACCAAACAACCCTCAGCGACTTCAGAAGCCGTGGCTACAAACCTTTGATTCTTCAGATGTTGGTTGTTGTGGGGAGTCGATACGGCTCAAACATGTGTACGGATTTGGATTTGGTTTCTTTTCTTTACAGACTGAGTGAACACGCTGCTCAGCTGTGTGAAGCGTTGGACGTATTTTACCTGAAAGGTTAAAGGTTGTAGGTTTGAACCCCGACAGAGAGGATGAAGGATGAAACTGAAGTTTGTACAGACGATCTCTTCACTGGCTCGAATTCAGCAGCTGAATCCACTTCAGGTCACATTTTAAGGAAATCTGGAACAAGAAGACTTTGTCAGAATCCAAGAGGTGAAGGAACCTGTAAATGTTTGAGTGATGATCCAGACGCTGCTGAAACACACGAACCGAACTCATCTGGGTTTAACTGATCTATGCTGAGCCTGAACACTGTTCACACAACGTCACTGAGCTGGTCTGAGCTGGTCTGAGCAGCGCTGGACTTACCTGGTTTTTCTAAACGGGACTGTAGAGAGGAAAGGGTTAACTGAGGGTTAACTGTGGACTGACGTGGACTCTTCTGGTCTGGCTGTAGCTCAGAGGTGTTTGTCAGTGTAACGCTGACGTCCAGACTAGGAACGAAAGCCTTTTACTTTACAAAATATGCAACATTACAACAAGCAGGAAAATAGCATCAAGAAATGAAGAGAATAATAATAATACCAATAATAATGTGTGTGTTATTAAACTACAGTAATTATTGCAGGGAACATTAATGTAAAGCAACTAAGAAACTCATTTGTTGTGTGATCTTTTCAGTGAGAGAGAGAACACAACAAGTATTCTGCAATAGATTTAAACAGGAAGAGGAAACGCAACGCCACGAGCTCCTCAGCGGTAAAGTCACGTTTGTCCTGATGACGTGCACTCTGGGAAAAAAAAAGGTCGTTTTTAACATGTTGATGACGGCGGTTTGGATCCACGTGCAGACGCTTCACAATCACCTCAGTCTTATTTATCGTTGATGCTCAGTAACTTCAGCAGAGTCTTAACATGAATCCAGACCCAGAACTAATATGCAGATAGATCATATTTAACCTCGTTCAAACAGATGATTATAATGTTACTGTTATGTTGTTAGCACCACAATATGGCTGCCACTTTACAACAACAAGAACCAGAATGAGCCCACACAGGTGACATTGATCAGTCCTGGTGCCTCTGTCACTGATGGAAACTGAGGATAACAAAAGTACAGAAACATAAATAATAAATAATAATTTATCATGACAGTAAACTGAACCAAAGTTAGGAGAACCAGGTGGAGGTGTGCTCCAGGACCGTCTCTGTCATGAAGAAAAGTGTCAGCACATCGAGAGAAGAGACGAACTTCAGGCACTCGTGTGGAGCAGAAACAAATTTACTTGCTTTTATTAAAACAACGTGGCTGCTTACATTAAAACAGCGACCGGTTGGTCCTGCTCCACGCACGAATGTCTGAAGTTCATCTTTCCTCCCCGCTTACCTGAAACACTTCTCTGACCTTTGGGGCGCCGCCGCTGATGCTGAGATGAGATAACACTGTGGTTAGCGTGTCGTGAGGTGAAGGTACAAAAACACCTTGGTTATGATTCTTGGGACGCAGCGCTCCAGATTACAAACTGTTAAAGAACGACTGCTCTCCGTGATGACATGTCGCTAAACAACAGGCACGTGTGGTGCTTATAAAGCTGCTGAAGAAACAGTGATGACACTAAATCTCAACCTGTCTTGTTGCTGCAGAAACATGGCGCCCACCCTCCGGTCTCCCCTCAGGTCACCATGGTGATAAAACAGCCTCATTTTGAGCCTCAGAAGCCCTTTAACATTTTTAACTGAGTTATAGTCTTGAAAACTATGTTGAAGATGTTTCGTCAACAACCTTTTTCATGATGAAAACGAGACAATGAGCTAAAAATAGATCTCTTGTGGGGTCATAGCGCCGAATGAGTGATGCTGCCAGCTCCGCCCGAACCAGGCTGGCGCCCAGTGCAGGAAACGATGGAGCAGAAAGATTAACCTGCAGATCAGAGGTCGGCAAACTGCAGAGAAACAAATAACAGTAGATATATTTATATTCTTACATTATCCCACTGTAATGCACCAAACTGAAAAAAAAAAGTTTGAACATTTCATAAACTAAATGTGCGTCGTATGTCTGCAGCCTGGCGCCTTGTCCGCTAAATGTTGCTGAACCTCAACAGCGTCGTCTCGTCTCGAGTCTCTCCACCTCGGCTGTCGATTCCAAAAGTCTCTGAGGAAAACTTAAATAGTGCATCGACAGATTCGTTTGGTTTCACGTTTAAGTCCCAAATAAATGAGCTGTAAAGAGACGCCACCTCTTTGTAAAACAACACAACACAGAGTGCACGCCGTCGGCCGCGCCTGACTCAGCTGCGAGAATTTTGGCGAAGCATTTCCTCGACCATCCAGAAGCGAGTGTGAGTGAGTGACACGCAGACGGAGACAGACGTACATACTGTAACATATTTTGTATCATAAACTTTCACCTGCATCTTCCAATCAAATCCTCAAACCAAAAAAAGAAAAAGAAATAAAAAAAGATAGAGATGGAAGTCGCCGGGTGTCAGAGCGGCGTTCCTCCGTGCATGAGCCTCGTACAGTAGAAGTAGCACTACTGATCATAGGAACTTATCAACCATATCAGAGAAAAAAAAAGCTAGGAAGAAAAAACACACACAAACACAACGGGGGAAAAATCTCATCATCCGTTCTTTTGCATGACGACTCTTGTTTTCTCCTCCTATCAACCATCGTTTGTTTCCTCATCCTCCCCGAAACTTTTCAAGACGAGTGTTTGCACCACCTGACGTGTACGTTAGAATTAAACCCATTATATAAATGACTTTCAAAATAAAAATCATTCAGGCATGTTCCTCGCCAGAATGCAAAGTGTGTGTGAACGGGCGGGTGTGTGTGTGCGTGTGTGTGTGTGTTGGTGTGAATGTGTGTGTTTGTATGATGAGCAGTCACAAATATGCATGGATACCGTTATAGGTATTTTATCTGTTTTCTCCTGCAGTTTAAAGAGTCAATGAGAGGAGGCGCAACACACCACCGTCTGTTCACTGGAGCCACCTGTGTCTCTGTGTCTCCGCTTTATTTTATGAAATGTGTCTCATATAAATCTGTCACTGAGTCTTAGTGTTTGACTCTGTTGTGCAGCTGTGATTATCAGAGGTGAGAGCGAGTCAGTGTTCTGCAATTCACGAGTGAACCTCAAGTCTTTGTAGTCAAGTCCCAAGTCCTGGACTAGTCATAATGAGCTCCTCACCAAATGTAACGCCGTATTAAATTTACTTTTTAAAATGTCTATGAATGAGTTAAAACAAGTTACTGAGCTGTTAAGCTAACGGTAGCTTAGCATCAGCTCACTCAGTCTGTTGATATCAGCCTCGTCCTACGACTCTGTGTGTAACTTCACATGTTGAACAAAGTTGGCAGTTGTTGCGTCTTCGTCTCGCACATTTTTCTTTACTACAGTTTGTTTGTTTGCTGTCGGCCAACATGTTTTTGTTTGTCAACAAAATTCTCTTTTGTATATTTTTTTCTAGCTGGAGTTCATGAACATTATGTGATGATGTCGTGTTAACTTGATTTGATGCTGTCAGACATCTTAACAACTTTTTTTTGTTGTTGTTGTTGGACAATATAATAATTGTGTAGGACAATATAATCATTTATTTTTCTGACATTTTAACATTTTTTTGACATTTTGCTAATTTTTCTTTCTTAAGCTGGGGGAAGTGACTCGTATTTTCAGGTCAAAAGGCTCAAGTCCAGGTGAAGTCACGAGTCATTGGTGTTGGAGTCCAAGTCGAGTTGCAAGGTCTGTTTTATTTCATCAAGTCGAGTGTAAAGTCATCAAATCTGTGACCCAAGTCGACTCAAGTCCAAGTCATGTGACTCGTGTTCACACCTCTGATAATTATAATAATTTATAACTTCAAACGATCCGTCAAAGACCTTAAATTATTCATATTTCTTTTTAATTGATAATAAGAATTATATAGAATATTGAAACTGTAATTGCACAATAAATTAAATCATGTCCTCTTTGGGCTTCCGTACAAACTGTTTCAGCTTTAATTTGTTTAGTTTAGAGGTTTTTTTGTTTCCAGACAAAGAGAGGAGATGCTGCTGAGTTGTTTATTTTTTTGTTCTTCATTAATCAGCCAGCAGTATTTTTATTTTAATGTTCTGCGTCGTGAAGCTGTTGTTTATTTTAAATTGTTAAATTTAAATGAAGTCACTGATTCTTTAAATTTATTTTTGGTTTTGTTTTTCCGACTTGATGAACACAGAGAGGCTGAACTGTGACACTGAACGACTGGGAGTGGTGGTTTTACTGGACCTTACTGGGATGGTCTGTTTCTGCTGCTCTCACACTCTCGATTCGAGTTGATTATTGATCTGATGTTTCTTGGGTTAATGAGTTTGAACTGTTTCATCAGCTGAAAGACATAAATATTTTCAGTCACAAGTTGTTTAAAATCAGAGAGCTGCCTGTAGCATTGTAAAGTTTGTATTCATGCTCACTGATCACCATGATCTGCTCTCAGAGTTATTATTGATTATCTTTGCGTCATGTGATGAGTCACTGAAGTTTTTTGGGGGATGAAGCTGTTTTATTTTATATCGTATTTTGTGCATAAAATCAGGGACGGGTTCATAATAATGACGCTGAGATAATATTGATCATAATTCAGAGTATTGATCATCAGCTGTGATTTTAAAATGTTACATGTGACATAACAGCTGAAAAGTTGATGGAAAAAATTACAGTCACATGACACAGCTGTCCTCTGTTGACCTTTGACCCCTTAAAACAAAGCAGTGTGACCCCTCCCTGTGGTTCCACTGGTCTCCCAGTGTGACCAGTTAAACCAAAGACTGATTTTTTTCAAAAGAAAATCTGTGTAGTAAAAATCAGACTGACGTGTCCAGGTGTGACCTGTCGACGGCGTCCAGGTGTGACCTGTCGACGTCGTCCAGGTGTGACCTGTCGACGGCGTCCAGGTGTGACCTGTCGACAGTGTGGAGTTCATCACTGAGCGATGTTTTGATGTGGAGGCATGTTGAGCTGCTCTCAAACCGTCTGACAGCTGTTTTTATTAGATCTGATTTTAATGTGCTGTCCATCTTTTCATCTGAGGTGGTGTTTGTGCATCTGCAGAGCGGCTGTCGTCTCATCTGAAGTTTAACTCTTTAAATCGAAGCACACGTGTCTGATGGCGAGCAGACAAACTGACGTAATGATAAATGATGAGCGCAGATGATGAGCAGCACCTCAGATGTTTGACGTCCAGTGAACTGATGGAGGTGTGACGTCTCAGAGAGAGTGAGGCGTGATGAATGAATGAATGAAGGAGAAAACAGCATTAAAGCACAGAGGTGTATATTCCATTCCACTAATAAAGACAACAGAAACCAGAACCTGTTGTTGTTTGTTTGTTCTGAGTGTTTGTTTGTTTGTTTGTTCTGATGTCTCTCTGCACATTTACTGATGAAGACAACCTCTAACACTCATATACACACACACACACACAAACAGCACCTCGCCAGTGTCCAGGAGGTGAACTGGCACCTCTCCAGCTACTGGTCCACACTCCATATCTGGTCCGAGCAGGGACTTCAACCGGCAACCCTCCGGTTCCCAAGCCAAGTCCCTATGGACCGAGCTACTGCCGCCCAAACCCCTGTGAACATGTCAGTGTGAGTGAAATGGTCCTGCAGTGAATGTGTCACAGTGGGACTAACACACCCAGATCATGTGACTCCTGCATGTATACAGTCAATCAGACCCAAACTGGCCGAGGCGCTCTGAGCATGCTCCACAGTTTCCGCCCCGGGCTTTGACCCGGAAGTCCAATAGCATTAAATGTGTAAGAGAAGAAGAAGCCGGTAACAACATGGAGAAATCTACATCCAGAGCCGTGAGTCTCTCTTCATGTGAGGCAGAAGGTCTCAGCTGCTGACACACACACTTCAGGATGAACTCATGAAGTCTGAGCAGAAACTGATGGAGCAGCGACCTCTAGTGACCAGAAGGTGAGTTACAGCTCAGCCAATCACAAACGAGGAGAAATGATCCACAGCTCCAGGTACTGGAGACGAGTATTTTCATGTTCTGCTCCATCTCAGAGGTAAATCTTTTTCCTGCCCTACATCTGTCTGACAGCTGTAGTTCCTCCACAGATCAAAGTTTTTCACTCACTTCATTTCCTGTCCAGTAAATACCAGTAAAACCAGTATGAACACTGGGACAGGTAAACCTAATCATGTACACCTTCACATGTATATACGTCCATCACTACAAGTGTCAGTAAGAAAGAACATCGTCACCGCCTGCACTGTCCATATTTACGCCCCTGGGGCCAGTTGCACAAAACACCTTAAGATTTCTCTTAAAGCCCTGGCTAAGGTTTCCTCATAATAAAATCAGTTGCACAAAACAACTTAAATCCTCTCGTTAGGGTTTCCTTAAAATAACTTAAGTATTTAAGGTTTTCTCCTGGTCTTCATCTGATACTTAAAGAATCCCTCAATTGTTGCACAGAAGCCCTTAGCAACCAAAGTAAAATGGAAACAAAATAACCCTTAAGGTCCATCTGACTCTGTCTTAACTGCAACATGACGAGTTTATGGTGATAAATAAAAAAGGAACCGAGCCTGAGCAGAGAGTTCTGCGACCAGGAGAACCACTTCTGATTTTAACCTTTAGATTCGACTGAGTTCATTTTCCTTACAGTCATTTCCTGTGTTTATACTAAACTACTGTAAGACGACTCAGTGAGACGATAACAAACAATCAGTCTCCATGGGAACTGTTAACGCTGTAAAATCTCTTTCAACACAGTGAATTAGTTTTTCTTTAATTAAGGAAACCTAAGGGATACTGTGCAACTGTCTAAATCCCTCAGCTAAGGAGAAATTAAGTCCTAATTAAAGTGTTTTGTGCAACTAGTCCCAGGTTTTGTCTCTTGGATTAATTCAAAGTCTGGCAGCTGAGTTTTCACAGAAGAGACAGGAAGTGACCTTTTGGCTGGGTCCTGACGGTGTCATGAGGTGTCTGAGGGTGGTGGATAATATCTGGAGAGGACAGGGACAGTGATGGAGGGACTGACAGCAGGGTGGTGGATAATATCTGGAGAGGACAGGGACAGTGATGGAGGGACTGACAGCAGGGTGGTGGGTAATATCTGGAGAGGACAGGGACAGTGATGGAGGGACTGACAGCAGGGTGGGGGGTAATATCTGGAGAGGACAGGGACAGTGATGGAGGGACTGACAGCAGGGTGGGGGGTAATATCTGGAGAGGACAGGGACAGTGATGGAGGGACTGACAGCAGGGTGGGGGGTAATATCTGGAGAGGACAGGGACAGTGATGGAGGGACTGACAGCAGGGTGGGGGGTAATATCTGGAGAGGACAGGGACAGTGATGGAGGGACTGACAGCAGGGTGGGGGGTAATATCTGGAGAGGACAGGGACAGTGATGGAGGGACTGACAGCAGGGTGGGGGATAATATCTGGAGAGGACAGGGACAGTGATGGAGGGACTGACAGCAGGGTGGGGGGTAATATCTGGAGAGGACAGGGACAGTGATGGAGGGACTGACAGCAGGGTGGGGGGTAATATCTGGAGAGGACAGGGACAGTGATGGAGGGACTGACAGCAGGGTGGGGGGTAATATCTGGAGAGGACAGGGACAGTGATGGAGGGACTGACAGCAGGGTGGGGGGTAATATCTGGAGAGGACAGGGACAGTGATGGAGGGACTGACAGCAGGGTGGGGGGTAATATCTGGAGAGGACAGGGACAGTGATGGAGGGACTGACAGCAGGGTGGGGGGTAATATCTGGAGAGGACAGGGACAGTGATGGAGGGACTGACAGCAGGGTGGGGGGTAATATCTGGAGAGGACAGGGACAGTGATGGAGGGACTGACAGCAGGGTGGTGGATAATATCTGGAGAGGACAGGGACACTGATGGAGGGACTGACAGCAGGGTGGGGGGTAATATCTGGAGAGGACAGGGACACTGATGGAGGGACTGACAGCAGGGTGGGGGGTAATATCTGGAGAGGACAGGGACAGTGATGGAGGGACTGACAGCAGGGTGGGGGGTAATATCTGGAGAGGACAGGGACACTGATGGAGGGACTGACAGCAGGGTGGGGGGTAATATCTGGAGAGGACAGGGACACTGATGGAGGGACTGACAGCAGGGTGGGGGGTAATATCTGGAGAGGACAGGGACAGTGATGGAGGGACTGACAGCAGGGTGGGGGGTAATATCTGGAGAGGACAGGGACAGTGATGGAGGGACTGACAGCAGGGTGGGGGGTAATATCTGGAGAGGACAGGGACACTGATGGAGGGACTGACAGCAGGGTGGGGGGTAATATCTGGAGAGGACAGGGACACTGATGGAGGGACTGACAGCAGGGTGGGGGAGTGATGGGAGGACACTGTTAAACTGACAGTCTCCAGCAGGTGGCGGTAATGCGTGACGTGGCTGTCAGCCGTCATATACACCTCCACAGAAGAAGAAGAGGAGGCGCTCAGGTAGGAGTCTACCTGCCGTGACTCATCTCCGTCATTGTTCTCTCTCTGGTTTCTGTCAGTCCAGTTTCCTCGTTCTTGTCGCCAAATCTTTGTTTGTGTTTCAGAACCGAGCCGCTGCTGCTGTTCGGTTCTTCTTCCGGTCTGAACCCGGTAATACCGACTCGGTACCGGAACCGACACCCGGAGCTACAAACTAACTTTAAACGTTTTCTTGTTTTGAATCGCTCGGTGTGTGCCTCTGTACCTGGAGGACAGATTCACCTGTCGCCGCTCACCTGTTGTCGCCATGCCAGGCTGATGGCGCAGAGCGCGAGACTCAAAGACGACAGGAAGCTCCGGTAAAGACGGATTAACGTACAGAGAAAGGGACAACCCGGGACTTTATAGTGACATGGATTTACTGGACTCAGGACAGACGTTCTGTCCCCGACAGGTGAGCTCTTTACCTGTAATATAAACCTACTGTGACGTCACAGGCCGTACAGGTTCCTCGGTATCGCCTGAGATTAAAAACAGAAACCAAACAGGAAGTAGTTTCTGTTTAAAACGATTAATAAACATAAAGTTCAGGAGGTCTGAAACACTTTATAGAGTCTGTGCTGGTCTCACTGGGTCTGTACTGGTGTCAGTGGGTCTGTACTGGTGTCAGTGGGTCTGTGCTGGTGTCAGTGGGTCTGTGCTGGTGTCACTGGGTCTGTGCTGGTGTCACTGCGTCTGTACTGGTGTCACTGGGTCTGTACTGGTCTGTACTGGTGTCACTGGGTCTGTTCTGGTGTCACTGGGTCTGTACTGGTCTCACTGGGTATGTGCTGGTATCCCTGGGTCTGTGCTGGTCTCACTGGGTATGTGCTGGTGTCACTGGGTCTGTGCTGGTCTCACTGGGTCTGCACTGGTCTCACTGGCTCTATGCTGGTCTCACTGGCTCTGTTCTGGTGTCACTGGGTCTGTTCTGGTCTCACTGGGTCTGTACTGGTCTCACTGGGTCTATGCTGGTCTCACTGGCTCTGTTCTGGTCTCACTGGGTCTGTGCTGGTCTCCCTGGGTCTGTTCTGGTGTCACTGGGTCTGTTCTGGTGTCACTGGGTCTGTTCTGGTCTCACTGGGTCTGTGCTGGTCTCACTGGGTCTATTCTGGTCTCACTGGGTCTGTGCTGGTGTCACTGGGTCTGTTCTGGTCTCACTGGGTCTGTGCTGGTCTCACTGGGTCTGTTCTGGTGTCACTGGGTCTGTGCTGGTCTCACTGGGTCTGTGCTGGTCTCACTGGGTCTGTGCTGGTCTTACTGGTGTCTGTACTGGGTTTCCTGCCTCTCTTTCTCTTCCTCCTCCTTCTCCTCCTTCAGAGTAACTCAAACCTCTCCTCCATGAATAATAACCCAACCTGTTCCCATGTTAAACATCATTATCAGTGGTATCCAGTCGTCCTGAAGGTGGCGCTGCAGCAAGTCTTTACAGTTTAAATCTTTATAACTTCAGAATAACTCATGTGTCACTGACCTGTTACATACCTGCCACTGACCTGTCACTCACCTGTTACATACCTGCCACTGACCTGTCACTCACCTGTTACATACCTGCCACTGACCTGTCACTGACCTGTTACATACCTGCCACTGACCTGTCACTGACCTGTTACATACCTGCCACTGACCTGTCACTGACCTGTTACATACCTGCCACTGACCTGTCACTGACCTGTTACATACCTGCCACTGACCTGTCACTGACCTGTTACATACCTGCCACTGACCTGTCACTGACCTGTTACATACCTGCCACTGACCTGTCACTGACCTGTTACATACCTGCCACTGACCTGTCACTGACCTGTTACATACCTGCCACTGACCTGTCACTGACCTGTTACATACCTGCCACTGACCTGTCACTGACCTGTTGCATACCCGGGGGTCTTGGAGCCATACAGGTCCTGGAGGGTCTTCAGGGTCTCAAACTTAAAACGTAATGAGTAAAATCTATCAATCAATTCTAAAACAAAGATGAAGCCCCTGGAGAAAAGGTGAGACATGATGGTTCCACCAGCTGTAACTTTCCCTCCTGTACAAACGTGATGGTTTGGTACGTCTGTCAGTGTAACAGGGTGTGGAGGAGGAGGAGCAGCCGTACGTCTGTCAGTGTAACAGGGTGTGGTGGAGGAGGAGCAGCCGTACGTCTGTCAGTGTAACAGGGTGTGGTGGAGGAGGAGCAGCCGTACGTCTGTCAGTGTAACAGGGTGTGGAGGAGGAGGAGCAGCCGTACGTCTGTCAGTGTAACAGGGTGTGGAGGAGGAGGAGCAGCCGTACGTCTGTCAGTGTAACAGGGTGTGGTGGAGGAGGAGCAGCCGTACGTCTGTCAGTGTAACAGGGTGTGGTGGAGGAGGAGCAGCCGTACGTCTGTCAGTGTAACAGGGTGTGGTGGAGGAGGAGCAGCCGTACGTCTGTCAGTGTAACAGGGTGTGGTGGAGGAGGAGCAGCCGTACGTCTGTCAGTGTAACAGGGTGTGGTGGAGGAGGAGCAGCCGTACGTCTGTCAGTGTAACAGGGTGTGGTGGAGGAGGAGCAGCCGTACGTCTGTCAGTGTAACAGGGTGTGGTGGAGGAGGAGCAGCCGTACGTCTGTCAGTGTAACAGGGTGTGGTGGAGGAGGAGCAGCCGTACGTCTGTCAGTGTAACAGGGTGTGGTGGAGGAGGAGCAGCCGTACGTCTGTCAGTGTAACAGGGTGTGGTGGAGGAGGAGCAGCCGTACGTCTGTCAGTGTAACAGGGTGTGGTGGAGGAGGAGCAGCCGTACGTCTGTCAGTGTAACAGGGTGTGGTGGAGGAGGAGCAGCCGTACGTCTGTCAGTGTAACAGGGTGTGGTGGAGGAGGAGCAGCCGTACGTCTGTCAGTGTAACAGGGTGTGGTGGAGGAGGAGCAGCCGTACGTCTGTCAGTGTAACAGGGTGTGGTGGAGGAGGAGCAGCCGTACGTCTGTCAGTGTAACAGGGTGTGGTGGAGGAGGAGCAGCCGTACGTCTGTCAGTGTAACAGGGTGTGGTGGAGGAGGAGCAGCCGTACGTCTGTCAGTGTAACAGGGTGTGGTGGAGGAGGAGCAGCCGTACGTCTGTCAGTGTAACAGGGTGTGGTGGAGGAGGAGCAGCCGTACGTCTGTCAGTGTAACAGGGTGTGGTGGAGGAGGAGCAGCCGTACGTCTGTCAGTGTAACAGGGTGTGGTGGAGGAGGAGCAGCCGTACGTCTGTCAGTGTAACAGGGTGTGGTGGAGGAGGAGCAGCCGTACGTCTGTCAGTGTAACAGGGTGTGGTGGAGGAGGAGCAGCCGTACGTCTGTCAGTGTAACAGGGTGTGGTGGAGGAGGAGCAGCCGTACGTCTGTCAGTGTAACAGGGTGTGGTGGAGGAGGAGCAGCCGTACGTCTGTCAGTGTAACAGGGTGTGGTGGAGGAGGAGCAGCCGTACGTCTGTCAGTGTAACAGGGTGTGGTGGAGGAGGAGCAGCCGTACGTCTGTCAGTGTAACAGGGTGTGGTGGAGGAGGAGCAGCCGTACGTCTGTCAGTGTAACAGGGTGTGGTGGAGGAGGAGCAGCCGTACGTCTGTCAGTGTAACAGGGTGTGGTGGAGGAGGAGCAGCCGTACGTCTGTCAGTGTAACAGGGTGTGGTGGAGGAGGAGCAGCCGTACGTCTGTCAGTGTAACAGGGTGTGGTGGAGGAGGAGCAGCCGTACGTCTGTCAGTGTAACAGGGTGTGGTGGAGGAGGAGCAGCCGTACGTCTGTCAGTGTAACAGGGTGTGGTGGAGGAGGAGCAGCCGTACGTCTGTCAGTGTAACAGGGTGTGGTGGAGGAGGAGCAGCCGTACGTCTGTCAGTGTAACAGGGTGTGGTGGAGGAGGAGCAGCCGTACGTCTGTCAGTGTAACAGGGTGTGGTGGAGGAGGAGCAGCCGTACGTCTGTCAGTGTAACAGGGTGTGGTGGAGGAGGAGCAGCCGTACGTCTGTCAGTGTAACAGGGTGTGGTGGAGGAGGAGCAGCCGTACGTCTGTCAGTGTAACAGGGTGTGGTGGAGGAGGAGCAGCCGTACGTCTGTCAGTGTAACAGGGTGTGGTGGAGGAGGAGCAGCCGTACGTCTGTCAGTGTAACAGGGTGTGGTGGAGGAGGAGCAGCCGTACGTCTGTCAGTGTAACAGGGTGTGGTGGAGGAGGAGCAGCCGTACGTCTGTCAGTGTAACAGGGTGTGGTGGAGGAGGAGCAGCCGTACGTCTGTCAGTGTAACAGGGTGTGGTGGAGGAGGAGCAGCCGTACGTCTGTCAGTGTAACAGGGTGTGGTGGAGGAGGAGCAGCCGTACGTCTGTCAGTGTAACAGGGTGTGGTGGAGGAGGAGCAGCCGTACGTCTGTCAGTGTAACAGGGTGTGGTGGAGGAGGAGCAGCCGTACGTCTGTCAGTGTAACAGGGTGTGGTGGAGGAGGAGCAGCCGTACGTCTGTCAGTGTAACAGGGTGTGGTGGAGGAGGAGCAGCCGTACGTCTGTCAGTGTAACAGGGTGTGGTGGAGGAGGAGCAGCCGTACGTCTGTCAGTGTAACAGGGTGTGGTGGAGGAGGAGCAGCTGTACGTCTGTCAGTGTAACAGGGTGTGGTGGAGGAGGAGCAGCTGTACGTCTGTCAGTGTAACAGGGTGTGGTGGAGGAGGAGCAGCTGTACGTCTGTCAGTGTAACAGGGTGTGGTGGAGGAGGAGCAGCTGTACGTCTGTCAGTGTAACAGGGTGTGGTGGAGGAGGAGCAGCTGTACGTCTGTCAGTGTAACAGGGTGTGGTGGAGGAGGAGCAGCTGTACGTCTGTCAGTGTAACAGGGTGTGGTGGAGGAGGAGCAGCTGTACGTCTGTCAGTGTAACAGGGTGTGGTGGAGGAGGAGCAGCTGTACGTCTGTCAGTGTAACAGGGTGTGGTGGAGGAGGAGCAGCTGTACGTCTGTCAGTGTAACAGGGTGTGGTGGAGGAGGAGCAGCTGTACGTCTGTCAGTGTAACAGGGTGTGGTGGAGGAGGAGCAGCTGTACGTCTGTCAGTGTAACAGGGTGTGGTGGAGGAGGAGCAGCTGTACGTCTGTCAGTGTAACAGGGTGTGGTGGAGGAGGAGCAGCTGTACGTCTGTCAGTGTAACAGGGTGTGGTGGAGGAGGAGCAGCTGTACGTCTGTCAGTGTAACAGGGTGTGGTGGAGGAGGAGCAGCTGTACGTCTGTCAGTGTAACAGGGTGTGGTGGAGGAGGAGCAGCTGTACGTCTGTCAGTGTAACAGGGTGTGGTGGAGGAGGAGCAGCTGTACGTCTGTCAGTGTAACAGGGTGTGGTGGAGGAGGAGCAGCTGTACGTCTGTCAGTGTAACAGGGTGTGGTGGAGGAGGAGCTGTATGTCTGTCAGTGTAACAGGGTGTGGAGGAGGAGCAGCTGTACGTCTGTCAGTGTAACAGGGTGTGGAGGAGGAGCAGCTGTACGTCTGTCAGTGCAACAGGGTGTGGAGGAGGAGGAGCAGCCGTACGTCTGTCAGTGTAACAGGGTGTGGAGGAGGAGCAGCTGTACGTCTGTCAGTGTAACAGGGTGTGGAGGAGGAGCAGCCGTACGTCTGTCAGTGTAACAGGGTGTGGAGGAGGAGCAGCTGTACATCTCTCAGAGTGTGGACAGACTCTTTAACATACAGGACACAACATGCTGACATACCAAACATCAGAGCTGAAGACATTCCTGTCCAACAGCAACACCCTGCTGCACTTTGACAGCAGGGTGTTGCTGTCTGTCTGTCTGTCTGTCTGTCTATGAACCAACACTCATCTGTTGTTTAAGCAACACATTAAATAATCACTTCATATCTGTGGCAGATTTAAGAGCTGTGATGTCTGTGAACATCTCCTCAACATCAGCTGCACTTTAACACCAGATGAGCCTCTGGGTCTCAAACTGCTTCTGTTCAGGACTCTGTGGGATTTGTGTGAATCAGCTGGTGTGTGACATCACCGGAGGGAAACAGCATCAGTTACTGTCTTCTCATATTACAGATGTTTTTATGCAGGAAACAGATAAAAAATACATTTAATTTAACAAATAGAAACATGTCCGTGTCTCTGTGTGTCCGTCACCAGGACAACTGTCTCCCAGAAAGACATGGTCTCAGTGAGACCTGCTGACAGACAGCGTGTTTCTATAGAGACCATCATGGTCCAGCTGATGTCTGACGGGCAGCAAGCTGAAGGTGTTGGAGTCAAAGCAAAGAGTTTATCTGTAAATGAACCACCTGTCCTTATGTCTCCCCTGTCCTCACCCTGTCCTCCCTCCGTCTGTAGGACCATGAGTGGGACACCACCCTTCAGTTCCTGCCGGCCTCAGACGCGAAGCAGCTGGAGAAGACGCCTGGCTGCAGGAGGAAGCTGTGGATGGGAGTGGGTCTGGTGGTGGCGGCGGCTGCTGTGGCTCTGCTCTGCGGACTGCTCGTCTGGCACTTTCACTGTGAGTTCATTTCAACAACCTTTATTTAAACACCTGTTGACACGGGCCAGCTGACTCTGGGTCAGAGGTGAAGTCTGTGTCCTGTTATCAGTGTGGAGCCGGAGGCAAACACACTCCACTGATACAGAAGCTTTTATTCTAACTGTCAGAGAAACTGGGCTGGTGGGCGGAGTCATACAACCACAGGGTGGACTGGTGGGCGGAGTCATACAGCCACAGGGTGGACTGGTGGGCGGAGTCATACAACCACAGGGTGGACTGGTGGGCGGAGTCATACAACCACTGGGTGGTGATTCTAGTTTTAAAACTGACATCACTGTATAAAAAGACCTTTAGTGACCTTTGGGATCATCACAGCTTCATGAAACTTTAGACACAAACTAGAGCCCTCGGACATTCACAGGATGTTTGGCTTTCACAGGCAGATTGACAATAAGGTTTGTCCAGGAAACTCCAAATGTAAAAGGTTTTTGATGCCAAATCACAGCCTGGATTTTTCTGTGGTCTTCTTTAATGTCTTGGTGTCTGACCCTCCTCAGAGCAACAGATAATTTCCTGTGACCCTCCCTCCACCATAAATAACCATGTGTTCCCACCACATGTAGGTTTGGAGCGAACGCCACAATCAGACAGCACAGAGGGCGTTAATATCAACACAACTGCAACATGTGCATTTAAAGATCGTTCTCCCAAATAAACTGTAACAGACACGACAAAATATCTCAGTCACGTGACGCAGCAGCTGGTTTAAGATTTAAAAAAACGTAACTTAATCTGAATATAATGTGGATCGATTTATAATATTTATAAAATATATAAATTTATTTACAGTCAAATATTAAATTGTGCGTGTTTTTAGTTAAGATTCAGGCGATTACTGAGGTCTAATATCCAGAGGTTGACTCTCTGTCTGTCTGTCTGTCTGTCTGTCTGTCTGACTGCCTGTCTGCCTGTCTGTCTGTCTGTCTGTCTTCAGTACGCCGTGATGTCAGAATGAAGAAACTTTACATCGGCTCCATGGAGATCAACAACGAGCACTTTGAGCCGGCGTATGAAGATTCCAGCAGTTCCAAGTTTAAACAGCTGGCCTCTCTGGTCAACAGACAGGTGAGACGTCACACCTGATGTGTCACACACTGACTCTTCTGCTTCCTGTTGCTCTGTGTGTGTGTGTCTGTATCTGCTGATGTGATTGTGACGACACTGGACAGACGTGATGTCAGATATCTGAATATGTCTCTATATTTCTGACCTTTTTATTTTCCAGCTGAAACTGATTTACTCCAAAAACTCTGTGCTGACCAAATACTTCAAAGGCTCCACGGTTCAGGCCTTCAGGTACGCATCACAAACACGCTTCATGTTTCACTCTGACACAGAAACTTCGGCTTGAGGACGTTTTAGTTTGTAGCGTTCAGTAAGTGAAATCTGAGGCTGACTGTGGTGGAGGAAGTACTCGGATAATTAACTGCAGTAACAGTACTGTGAAAACACTCCACTACAGGTAAAAGTCCTGCAGTGAAAACTTTACTGCAGTAAAAGTGTGTGAGCGGCCGACTGTAGTAAAAGTTTGAATTATGTGAACACATAAAGGAACACGTCTTCCTTCAGTTTGTCTTCTCTGTGTTTCCGTAGCGAGGGAGACGCTGGCGGTGACAGCATCGTGGCGTATTACCAGTCAGAGTTTGACGTCCACGTCCTCCAGCAGGACTCGCTGGACGAAGCCATCAAGTCTCTGGAGCCGTCGGCAGGAAGTCAGTCGGGCCGACACGGACGCCTGCTGCTGAAACCCACCGACGCTCTCAACGTCAACAACGTCGTCTCACAAGGTTCGACTGCTCAGTGACGCCACGTCCAACACACGACTGATGTTACATCATTATCCCAGTTTATCACTAATAAATAATCCATACATTTATTTAAATGTGGAGCTGGTGACATTTCCACAGACAGTAACAAGGTGTGTACTGAGGAGGTTAAGTTTCATCTCATGTGACCATGTTTAATTTGTACAGTCACTGAATCAACAGAACTCGTGCATCACGTCTGTCTTTTGACTGTTTGCTTTCTGCTGCTTCAACATTCAGTATCTTCGTGTCAAAGTTTGCAGTTTGTTGTGTGAAACTTTAGAATAAGTGTGAAATGTTGTTAAGAACTACGACGTATAAATAATCCTGCTCATTTGAATTAATGCAGAAAACATTAATGTGGTGACATCATCATACAGGCTGCACATTTTTACAGTTGTAGAATGAAATAATCACTTTAGGCCTCCAACAATGACAAATTAAAATCTGAATGTTAAGAATTCATCGTTTTTCATTTCCATATAATTTTATGTCAAAGCCACTAGAGAGGGGCTAAACCAGTGGTTCCCAACTACTGGGTCACAGTCCAAATGTGGGTCGCGGGTTCATTCTTAATGGACCACAAGTGACTCACAAACATGTCAAGTTTCTAAAAAACACACTCTATTTTTGTAGCTTCTTAAACTCTAAATGAGGATAGTGATAATGAGATACTGGCTACAGTGATTAAACAAAACCAGCATCAGATGGACTGTATTCATAATCAGTACGCCACAATAATATAAATAACCAGCGCCAATTCATCAGTCAATGAGAATGTGTGTGTGGGCGGGGCATAAGCACATACAGCCAGCAGCAGCAGCGACCCACCATCCCTTTCAACTCGTCATGTTGTGAATCTTTGGTCTGAACTGGGCATCATGTTCTAAAACCAGCCGCCGGCCATTTGACCAGCTGAGTGTCAGGTGACATCATCAGCCGGCTTGAGTCCAGCTCAGACCGGCCAGTTCACACCGCTGACACTTTTCTCTGTGATGTTCTGAAACGGTTTCATCTCGTCACTGATCTTTGGTCTGAACTGGACTTTACCAACCTGCTGATTTAAAGTTCAAGTCACTCGGAGTTAACTCGAAGAGTCTGAGCTGCTCGTGTCTGTAGGTTTCAGTAAAATCATTCAGTTTGTGGAGATTAAATAAAGGTTTGTCTTTGTGTTCACAGCTATCGACCCGCGCATGACGAGGAGCTCTTTGTTTGGTGAGAACTGTTGATTTCTCTTTATTGTATTTTTCTTGCTGAGATTGTTTATATCAAATTCTTTCAAAGTAAAGTTACTCTTGAAAAGGGCCAAGGTGTTGTTGAAGCTTTTGGCTGTCCTCATCAAAGTCTGAGACTGGAACAAAATGTCCGTCTTTTGGAGTAACTTTATTGACATGTTTGTGACGGTGACTTTGATTTGAAGGTTTCCACTCAATCTGAATTTAGGATCAGTCCGCTGGGAAGTCACTGAAAAGACTTAAAAACGTAATCTGACATTATTGTAAAACACACAGAGTGTACAGATGGAGTTAAGGTTAGCATGTCAAACTGAATGAACTCTGATAGTTTGATTATGTTTAGAGCAGCTGAGTTCTTGTTTTACAGCCAGTCATGAAAAATGTCTTTTTCCTGTTGTCAGTGAAAAAGTCCTTCAACGTCCACGTCAGTAAACCAGGAATCGTCCAGTCTCCGGGGTTTCCGGACTCTTCGTACCCTCCCAACGTCTACCTGCAGTGGAGGCTGAGGGCCGACCCCGGCCACCGAGTCCGCCTGGACTTCCACACTCTGATCCTGGAGGACGACTGTCAGCAAGACTTCATCAAAATCTACGACTCCCTGGCTCCGATCGAGCAGCGCGTCCTGACAGAGTGAGACGCTCACAGAGCTTTACCAACATTCAATGTTAGCGCTGATACGACTGGTTCATTAACAGAGAGACAGTGACACTAACCGCTGCATGTTTGTGTGCTTCTCTTCAGACAGTGTGGATACCCTCATGAGTCTCTGTCCTTCCTGTCCTCTGGAAACGTCCTGTTGTTGACTCTGCTCACCAGCGGGGACAAGAACTTCCCCGGCTTCAGAGCCAACTACTCCCAGATCCCTCAGGCTCAGCTAAGTACGACAGGAAGAACAAACACAACAGCAAAATAAATCGATCTAACAGTTTCATCCTACATGCTGTCAGCTGACGTCTCCTCGCTGTCCTCACATGTCTCTGTGATCTGTCTGTGTGGTTGTGCAGAGTGTGGAGGGACACTGACCGGAGACAGAGGCTCCTTCTCTTCACCTTTCTTCCCCTCCAACTATCCTCCGAAAACCTCGTGTGTGTGGACCATCGAGGTGAGTTCTCATGTTCTGGTGAGATGAACAAGTGAAGTTTATCCTGAGGGTGACGTCAGAGGAAAGTCCTTAAACTCCTCAGGGTTCATCCTCCGGGGAGCAGGATGTGATCAGGACATGGTGTCTTTAATAAAAGTGGAGATTTTAACCTCATGGTGGTGCAGAAGGAAAGGTCAGGAGGTCACCAAATATATGACTGTAGGGTTCATCCTCTGGGGATAATGAATAACCAGCTGACCAGTGTTTGACCTGAGGACTTATGTCTCCACTTCAGGACCAAATAATTTCTCTCATCTCTTAAATGTAACCAGTATTATCAGTTAGCTTCCACTCACCAGGTCTCATTCATGAAGCATGAGCAGAACGAATGTGTGTGTCAACTGTTGACAGAAGGAATCAGTCAGTATGTTAGCAGCTCCCATCTTTTGATACTAACAGAATCTCCACCTGCTCCCGACTGCTCGTAGTGCCTGTGTGAATGAGGAATGCACATAAATATTGTTTGTCGTTAATAGAAATTACAGTTTTAATTTGTGTTCTGTTTTGTTCACAACACACAGACGCCTTTAAAACACGTTAAAGTTAAGCATGACAAAGATTAGAAATAAAACACATTTAGATGAATCAGTTGGTGATCGGCAGATTCAATTATTATTTATTTAAATCGACTTAATACATGTGTTTTCTACATTTCCGACATCCTGTTGATCCAATCAGGAGACAGAACTGAGACTGTGAGACTCTCACTGAGCTGTCAGTGATGATGTCAGAACGTATAGAGATTTAACTTTTAATATAACATCATCACCGAACCTGCTGAGTCTGACTGACTGCTCCGGTGTCGCTGTCGCTCAGATGATGTAAGCACTGCACTCGTCTGCAGCTGTGACTGGGCGGAGCCTCTTCCTGTAGCTGTTGTGGGTTTTTGTATCAAGTTTCATGTCGAATATTTTCCTTTAACTTCTTGGATGGTTCTTACAACAGAGGACACGGACATAACGGAACCTCCTTCCAGGCCTTTGATTTACCTGTCCCCGTCACACCACTGCTAACACACGAATATAAAATATTTTCTCAGCTCCAGTTCACCTGAAGTAACTGAAGTCTCAATGTCCCAATTTAAAAAGATTTCATGAACGAGACCAAACGAGTTAAATGATGTGTATCTCATGAGCATCAGTTTCAGCTGATTCTGTAATTCTGTCTGATAATCGTCTTTTCTTCGTTATCTCTGTTATCTGTCTGTTTCAGACGTCAAAGGAAAAGTTTCTGAAGGTTCAGTTCAACAAGTTCTTCATGGGAAACTACAGCAGCCAGTGTCGCACTGATTACGTTGACATCAACGGTCAAAGGTCAGACATGAGTTTTCTCTCTTCGTACCGGTCTGTCAGCTTTGGTCAGAAACTTGGATGTGAACAATCACTGTGACTTTGATGCCACTGTTGTGATCTGTAGGACGTTTGACTCAGACAGGGTGGGTTAGTTATGACGGTGGCGACCGGGCGAGGACGCAGTGACTCAGACGTGATGTCGTCAAACTTGTACTCGGCCTCTTTGACTGAGTCCTGTCCTTTAATGGATCAGAGATGGTGCTGTGGAGCCGCTACGACGTCTCAGCCTTTGTATTTTTACACAGAACTTAATGAGGGTGGCATCATACGATCCTATCACAGCTGCATACTGTACCTTTTAAGTGCGACGAGTTTCAAGTCAAATCCCAAGTCAACAACAACAAGTATCAAGTCTTACATTTCCCCCTGAGCGCTCGCTCCACCAGGTCTGTGATATCATGTTGACTCCAGACTCGAGGTTTGGCCACGTGCACGACACCGGCTCCTCATGATGATGCTCTACAGGTCGCAGTTTTATTTTGCTGGTTAAAATCACAACCGAGTGTTTAAAGTCTATGTTTCGTCTGTCCGCCCTCGACAACGTCCTCAGAGAGTCGTCTCTGTGTCTCTGTGTTGTAGACTGTGTGGCAGTAAACCAAAGAGCACCGTGATCACCAGCCGCAGCAACAAGATGACCATCAAATTTAACTCGGACTCGTCCTACGTTCACCAGGGTTTCACCGCCGAGTACGAAGCCTTCATCCCGACGAATCGTAAGATATTTCAATTTTATTATTATTTAAATTGTGTTTTTTAGCCAGTCACTACACACTCTGGCCTCTGTCTCAGACACACCTTCAGTTCATGGTGTTTCTACTGTTTGATGTCATCGACCAGCTTGTCCCGGAAGGTTCCAGTGCACCAATAACCTCTGCATCAACAACACGCTGCAGTGTGACGGCTGGAACGACTGCGGAGACGGCAGCGACGAGGACAACTGCAGTGAGTCCAAACACCGACTGTGGATCTTTACACACCAGATGTGGTGTTTATAACTCAGCTTTAAACACATCTGCTTCACACCAGAGCACCACATGTGGATTAATCCACTGCTGAAAATAGTCCCCAACAAAGTCCCTGTTTGTCTGATAGAAACCAGAGAGAGCAGCTGTTTGAGGAAATCACTGATCAAACTATGGATTCTTCTTCAGCAGGAAGCGGTGGGTTTGGAGCTGAGACACAGACAGGAAGTCAGACATGTTGTTTCTTCTTTCAGAGTGCGATGCGTCTCAGATGAAGTGTACAAACGGCCGCTGTAAACCAAAGTTCTGGGAGTGTGACGGGTTCGACGACTGTGGAGACAACAGTGATGAGCAGAACTGTGGTGGGTTAAAGTCACGCTTCATACGTCAAACACAAACTGCTGAGAATCTGTCAGACACAAAGACCTTCATATGTGCACAGAGGGACTGAAGCATGACTGTTGTCTCTGTGAATGATGTCTGAGTGTCAGAGGTGTGTCTCTGTCTCTGTCTCTGTCTCTGTCTCTGCAGTAAAATGTAAAGCAGGAGAGTTTTCCTGCAGAAACAGCCGCTGTATCCCAGAGAAGCTCAAGTGTGACGGGAAAGACGACTGTTCAGACGGATCAGACGAGTCTACGTGTGAGAAATGTAAGAAACAGCATTGTTTACTGTTTACTCTGACAAAGGCCTGCCGTCCCGCCATCTGCAGTCAGCACATGGCCACGCCCCCTTTTCTCTGTACAAGTAAATCTGTTAGCCCAGAGGTGTGTCATGGAGAAAAAATGAAGTAGTTTCTGTGCACGTATTATAACCCTGACACAGCAGAGTCAGAGCTTCAGTGAGCGTCTGATAGAAACAGCTGACCAGCCATTCATCACTGTAAACATGTTCAAACATGTCACTCTCTGATTGGCTCTCACCTGAATGACTCAAATATCTTCCAGTGAGGTCACAGATCACATCTGAACAGCTGCTGGGATCAGAGATCACAATCTCTTATTGACTCTGCACAACCGTGATAGCCTACCAATAATCAGTTGGCTGCAAATGAACATATGTTCACTTCCTGTTTTCACAGCTGAATCTTTCAGTTGATATTAATTAAAAACAAACTTTCATCCTCATCCCATATTGATGAGGCTGAAAGGCTGTCAGTTTCATAGCCGGGCCGACCTGATCTCACTCCGACGTCGTTGAACACTGGTGCTTGGTCAGTGACTTGATACGCAGCCAGTCACTGTCATCATTTAACAGCACCCTGCAGCATCGGGAAAATGCAGAAAAAAAAAATAAGTTAACCACGTAACCACGTGTGTGTGTTGGCTAAACGTAACCACGTGTGTGTGTTGGCTAAACGTAACCGTGTGTGTGTGTGTGTGTTGGCTAAATGTAACCACGTGTATGTGTTGGCTAAACGTAACCACGTGTGTGTGTGTTGGCTAAACGTAACCATGTGTGTGTGTTGGCTAAATGTAACCGTGTGTGTGTGTGTTGGCTAAATGTAACCACGTGTATGTGTTGGCTAAACGTAACCACGTGTGTGTGTGTTGGCTAAACGTAACCGTGTGTGTGTGTTGGCTAAATGTAACCGTGTGTGTGTGTGTTGGCTAAATGTAACCACGTGTGTGTGTTGGCTAAACGTAACCACGTGTGTGTGTTGGCTAAATGTAACCACATGTGTGTGTGTTGGCTAAACGTAACCACGTGTGTGTTGGCTAAATGTAACCACGTGTGTGTGTGTGTTGGCTAAACGTAACCGTGTGTGTGTGT